ATTCATATAATCATTTCCTTGATGGTGTTATATCTTCATTTCAGGTAAGAGATGTCAAAAAGTGATAGCAAGTGTCTATTTTGATAGCAATGGCATGGAAATTAAGTTTTCAGGTGATAGTAATGACAAGCTGGGAAAATTGCTATTGAGACAAAAGAAACTCAAATATGTTTGTTAGAGTGAGAGGTGTTAAGAAAAATCACTGAGTACGCTTTATATAGTTTAATTTATAGTGCATGTATATATCTTTCTCCATTTTAACCTTCCATGTCTTCTAATATCTATTCTAACTTAAATTTTTAGTTTCAGATTGAAAAGCCACAGCTACCTTTTATTGAAGACTTTCTGTGATTAGCAATAGACTCATACAATAGCTTATTTAATTTTTTTAAAAAGACAATCCTTAATATGTATATTTTACTGATAAGCAACTAAACCAAATTAAACAGACAATTAGTAAATAACAAAGATCTGTATTTAGTCTAAGTAATTATTTTAGTAATAATCCCTGTTTCCTAGATAGAACTTAGGTTGACATTGTGACATTTTCTTTTCTGCAAACACTAATAACCTTTAAAATTTATTAAAATCTTTGTATTTTTCGGTCATACAGGAATCTTATTCTTATTGTCTATCTTGGACTCAAATATAGTAATGCACTATAAAAAGAATGTCATTGGTCCCTGTCCAGGGTTCCTGAGAGAGAAACTATTACTTGCATTTATTATCCCAAGGAAGTAACTCTCTCTGGTTACCAGGAAGAACACTGAACAGCTCTCCTTCTTAAGAGAGAAGAGGGATACTTAGGTTTATATTATACCCATAAATCTAGCTTAATGGAGCTTCTGTGTTGATAAGCACTTGTGCTGGGAAGATGACACACCCTGATTGTGTAGTGAGGACACAGAGCTTCTGTGTCTAAATTTGTATCCTTTATAATAAAACTGTAAATATAATATTTTCCTGAGTTCTACAAGTCATTCTAATAAATTATGAAACCTGATGGGAGACCACTGAATATCTGCTAAGCATTGAAAGTAGGGGAACTTGTTGGGTCCTATTCTTTCATATTAGTGGAGCTTACCCTAACTCTGGGTGGTTGGTGCCAGGATTACACTGCAGAATTGCAAGGAGGTACCAAATAAACTGAACTTAATTTAATTTCTTAAAGTTATACATACTATTGGAAGGATGTATACAGAAAAAGAAAAGAAAACAGATAAACAATCCAAAGACAAACCAAACTTCAGCTTTATTTAGCCTTCTTTCATTTTAATTCGCTAGTTAGAAAACTGCAAATATTAAATCATTATAAGTACTGTTTTATAATATCCCCTTTGTACTTCATATATCATGGGTACATTTTCCTATGAAATACTCCTCACTTTTGTTTTAATCACTAACACAGTAGTTAACATAAAATTCTGAAGTACTTATATTTTTAATATAAAATATTTTAGTACAAACAATTTATTTTGAAAGATAATTTATCTGAAAGCAAAAAACAAGAAAAATTTTAAATATAGATAATCTACTTTCAAAGCAATGACATAACTCATTATGTAGCCTCTCAATAACTACTATGAGAATCAGAGTGAAAAAAGCAAGTACTTCTCTATGTTATGAGAAAGACAGATCTGACATACATCCTTGGAAACATCTTTTCATTATAAAGAATTGCCAATCTACTTTTCCTGCAACTTACTGTTTGCTCAACCTTTTAGCTAGAACATATTTATCCATTTCAACTATTACTATGTTTGTCCTTGGTATGCCTATTTTGTAATTATATTATCTATTTCCTTAATGAACGACATTTATATTGTTTCTACTTTTTTTTTTTTGCTAGTTTAACTAAAGCTTTAAGAAACATGAATAGAATTGCTAGTGCGAATATGCTGGTATTTCTCTAGAAAACATACATACCTGGAAGTAGGATTTCCAATATATATATTTAATTTTATTAAGCATGACTAACTTCCCTTCTAAATATGCTAATTTATGTTCTTACTGGTTCCTTGCTAATTATTGACATTATCAGACTTCTTGATGGTGCCAAATAACATATCAAATAATCTAACATCATTGGTTTAATTTGCATGTCCCTCGGTACCAATGAAGTTGAACTTTTCTTTATAGGTATTTATTGGCTATTCTACCAATACTTGCTTCTCCATTTATTTCTTATTGAGCTAATTATCTTTTTATTTGGATTACATGAGTTCTATGTGACAACTGATACTTTTTTTTTTTTGGTGCTGGTCTTCATGCTTGAACTTAAGTCAGTTGCTGTTCTTGAGCTTTTATGCAAGGTTAGTGCTTTACCATTTGATCCAGAGCTCCATTTCCAGCTTTTTTTGGGTGCTTAGTTGGACTTTCCTGTCCAGGCAGGCTTCAAACTGTGATCCTCATACCTCAGTATTCAGCCCCGAGTAGGTAGGATTATAGGTGTGATACCCAGCAACTGACTCAAGATATTCTTTTTATTTTTTAGCCAAGTTGCAAATATATCCTCTCACACATTGTAGACCTTTTAACACTGTTGATAGTTTTTTAGTGCCAATGTTTAAAATATTTGATTTAATAGAATTTGTCAGTAATTTGTATCATGTATATAAGTTCAAGTGTCCATATGTATATGTACACATACATATTTGAAAAGCTTTAACTTACCTGCTTAGAAAGAGACTTCCATGTTTTGGCAACTACAATAAATATAAAATAATTAGATAATAAATAATTCATATGAAATGTATCTATATTCAGTAATAAGCCACTATAACTCAAAATCAAGGATTTATGTCCAAAAGGCGGAGTTTTTTTTAACCTTAAGATTTAAATCCAAACATAATGATTTTATATTATCTATTTACTTCATAGACCATAAACATTTTCCTTTTTTTTCTTTGGTCGGTCCTGGACGCTGTCCCTCAGCTCCTCAGCTCAAGGCCAGGGCTCTACCACTTGAGCTACAACACCACTTCCGGTTTTCCAGTGGTTTACTGGAGATAAGAGTCTCACGGACTTTCCTGCCAGGCTGGCTTTGAACTGCGATTCTCAGATCTCAGCCTCCTGAGTAACTAGGATTAGAGGCATGAGCCATGGACAATGGACCCAATTATCTTTTTTGGTGTTGTTATTTTTTTTTTGGGGGGGGGGGCCCGGTCGTGGGGCCTGAACTCTGGGCCCAGGCACTGTCCCTCAGCTCTTCAGCTCAAGGCTAGCGCTCTACCACTTGAGCCACAGTGCCATTTCTGGCTTTTTTCTTCTTGCTTATGTGGTGCTGAGGAATCGAACCCAAGGCCTTGAGCATGCAAGGCAAGCGCTCTACCACTGAGCCACCTTCCCAGCCCCTGGTGTTGTTATTGTTGTACTGGAGTTTTGCATGTGTTAGCAGGCATGCTAACACTTGTAAGATGCCTCCAATTCATTTTGCCTTAGGTTATTTTTCAGAGTTTTTTTTGCCTGGAGCCAGCTGCAGACCATCTACTGCCTACCTATGCCTTCAGTGTAGCTGGCATTATAGACACCATTGTTGAGATGAGGTCTTGCTAAATTTGTGTCAGGCTGGCCTTGAATCTTGATACTCTTGATCTTTACATATTGAACACCTAGATTACAGGTGTGAGCTACCACTCAGTCCATAACCATATTATGTTATGGCTTTCTGGATTTATAATATTTTTTTTCAAATTAAACATCTTCAAGGATTAAAGTACAAATTCTGATGTTTATGAAATATTAATCCTTTAGGATATATTAATATCCCTGAAAATAATTCATAGCTGAGGTCTGTCTAGAATGAAGAAAGATAAAACCAAGAATGAAGAATAATAAGAGGAAAAGAGATAACAGGGAGACCTGGCAAAGTGAAAGGGAAATTTCCATCCTATTTATCATCCATTTCTCCTACAACTGTTGTAGATGTGTCTTGAGTGTTGTAATTGAATATACTATATGGGACCAATTTCTTTATCTGATCTTTCTGTTCCTCAAAGATCTTATATGCCACAAATCACACTATGTTAGGGCAAATTTGTATTCAGTATTGCTGTTTCTTTTGCTCAGATTTAAACATTGCAAATTCCTAATAACTAAGAATTATCTCCAGGCTTATATATCCTATAACATAACTGTATTAGGAAAACTGGCAAAAATTATTTCAGCTACACTAAAATAACAATCAATAATTACTTCTAAATGTCTACTTCTTCATAATGAACAATATCTCAATGATGGCTATTTAAATATAATTAACAAGGTATCAAATTTCAAAATTCTAAGAAAAGACATCTCTCTCTTTTTGTTGTTGTTGGTTGGTGGGGCTTGAACTCAGAGCCTGGGCACTGTCCCTAAGCTCTTTTTGCTCAAGGCTAGTTAATCTATTGCTTTGAGCCACTGTTCCACTTCTGGTGGATAGCTGGAGATAAGAGTCTCAAGGATTTTTCTGTCCAGGCTGGCTTTGAACAGCAATTCTCAGATTTCAGCTTCCTGAGTAGCTATGATTACAGGCATGAGTTACTAACACCAAGTTGACATCTCTCATTTTTTTCTTTTTGTCAGTCCTGGGCTTTAACTCAGGGTCTGGACTCTGTCCCTGAGCCTCTTTATACTCAAGGCTAGCACTCTACCACTTGAGCCACAGTGCCACTTCCAGCTTTTTATGAGTTTATTGGAGATAAGAGTCTCAAATACTTTTCTGCCTGGGTTGGCTTTGAACCAGGATGTCAGCCTCCTAGTAGCTAGGATTGCAGGTATGAGTCTTAAGATAATATTGTAACTTACGTTAAGATAAACTTACTTTAAAATAATTTTCCAAAAGTTTGGTAAACTGATTTTCACAAAGCTATGTATGTCATAACAACATCTTATTCCATCAGTATGTCATAACACCATCTTGGATTTACTCAGATAGTTTGTATAAACATATAATTACGTGACTAAATTCACAGCTCTGTAAGTCAGAATATAGCATGTAACCCTATGATACTGCATACATTCATTTCACAGTGACACTTTCAAAATAAACGAACAGTTTGAATAATATGTTTGATTCTGTTGCACCTGAAATATAGTACCAAGACTACAGAAAAGTAAATGACATAAAAGTATATGCCCATGCTTTTATGCAATGTTCACAAGTTATTTATCAGAGGAGGAAGTTAGACATACTCTTGACTTTGGTAGAGTTTATTGTAAATTATTCACAAAAGATATATTCATTCTGCCAGAACTGTACTATGTTCAATATTATTAGCTTTTAAAATAAAGACTAAAGAGCCACTAAGATTGTTCTTCAGAGAGTTTTCTGTTTATAATTTCCTCATTTCACATGAAGTTACTATACATATAACTATCACAAGTGAGAAAGACTTTAATTCTATTAAAATATTTTATTTCTTAAACTATGTTTTATATGTTCATTGTATTTATGACACTTTCAATATCTAAAATATTTTAAAATAACATATTTTCAAAAATCTAAATTGAAAATTTCTTGTTGCTATGCAAAACTAATCAATTATTAATGGTAGTGCAAGGAGGGAATTTACCTTTTAGATTTTATTTGAAAAGGAAAACAAGATACCTAGTTTTCAAAAACAAAATTAAAATCAACAGATTATTTCTAATTATCATTTATTTGAGGTATAAATATTTCAGAAATCTTAAGGAAGTATTTATATACTATATCTTTTTTCTCATGAATGTCATCACAACATTATATCATAAATTTTAGGTCATGGTTATGAATTAAAGTGAGATGATGATGAGAACAGATATCAATATTCATTAAATGCTCATTTACAGGTACTATATGAAGCACCATTATTCAATTCTCCAAAATTCATTACGAATCTATTATTATTTCATAAATAAATGAGTAATAGTAATAAGTTAATCACCTTTATTAATAAAGTTGTAAAAGATCATTCAGTAATATTTAAAATTCCACATTGTGCCAAAAGGGGCCATATTCTTTTTTTTTTTTTTTGTCAGTTGTGAGGCCTGAACTCTGGGCCTAGGCACTGTCCCTCAGTTCTTCAGCTCAAGACCACTGAGACACAGTGCCACTTCTGGCCTTTTTCTGCTATGTGGTGCTGAGGAATGGAACCCAGGGCCTCATACAGGCAAGGCAAGCACTTTAACTCTGAGCCACCTTCCCAGACCAGAGGCTATATTCTTATCACAACCTTTGAATTGTTATTGTAAAGAGCCCTACTTACTTCTTAGCCTTCTCAATCTCTCCTGCCCTACACATTTCCAAAACAGTGCAAGAACATACCAATATTTTAAATTTTATGGTTTTGATCATATAGTTTCTACTCCTCTAGATACTACCTTTACAATCTCTGGTCAAAGTCTTCTTTTTAAAAATCATTATGGGTAAAGATCTTCACGATTAAACCTCTACTACAAATCTCACTACAGCTGCATTTCTTTTCTTTCTGGTAGTCAAACGTCTCCAAAGAGTCCTTTATATCTACTGTTTTCATGTCTCCACCTGCTTCTCAGCTCTGCAATCTGGTCTTTGCCTTAATCACTCCCCTGAAATAGCATTTTAAAAACCATCAATAGCCTTCAGATTCCTAAACCTACTGGACATTTTTCTTTCCTCCTCTAACTTGACTACTCAGTGGCATCCTACTCTTTTGACTAAACTGGCCATTTTCTTTCAGCTCTATGATTCTTCATTCTTCAGACTTTTTCCTCTGTCCCTCAGGCTCACCCTTTTCTAGCCCATATATATATATATATATATATATATATATATATATATATATGTATGTATGTATATATGTATACATATATGTATGTATATATGTATACATATATGTATGTTTAACTTTTAAAGTAAAAATTTCTAAAGGACCAATTCTTGTCATCTAAGCTATACTGTAATATTCTAGCTCCCTAGACAGTGTTATTCATACACATTGTATTAATTACCTACCATGTACATCTGAAGAAGTCTGTACAGACTTCTCTCCTGCTCTCCAGGAGAGAAAACAACAAAAATCAATTCATTAAAAGCTAGTCTGACACAGACACTGGTAGCTCACACCTGTAATCCTAGCCTCTCAGGAGGCTGTGATCTAAGGATTGCAGTTCAAAGCCTGTTCAGGCAGGAAAGTTCATGAGACTCTTACTTACAGTAAACTACTAGGAAAAAGCCAGAAGTGGCGCTGTGGTTCAAGTGGTAGAGCACTAGCTTTGAGAAGCTCAAGGACAGCACCCAGGCCCTGGGTCCAAGCCCCAGAAACAGCATCAAACAAACAAACAAACAAAAACTAGTTTGCAAAAGAGCTAATGTTTCTAATTACTGAGGATTCTCTGCCCTTTGGCAGTACCAAAGTTTGAATTCAAGACTTTGTGCTTGTGAGGGACTGGAATCACACACCTAAGTGATCACTCAAACTATGATCCTTCCACCCTCTACCTCCCAAATTGCTAGGACCATAGGCATGCACTACCATGTATGGTTTGTTCTTCATTGTTTGGGCTGGCCTCAAATCATTTTTTTCCCATCTCTACCTCCAACATAGCTGGGATTATAGGCATGCACCACCACACACAGCTAATAGGTCTTATTTGAAATTAAGGTTTTCTGTATTCTTGTCTCAAAAGAAAAGAAAACATGACTTCAACTGTTCTAGTCTAATATTCGGTATACTGATTTTAGTGAGTTACCATGTAGTGAGCGGAAATGAGTTGAAATAGATCAATCTACTTCATCTTGTCCATATACAATTCATCTCAAACATATCATTACAAATTGATAAAGTGATTATTGCCCTCAAACTCCATTCTTACTGCCACCAATCCAGGTAACTGGGCCAGAAACTCTTAGTACTAATTACTCTTTCATCACCATATTTGGATGCTTTCAAGCCCAACTACCACTAAGTAAGTTGTGGTATAAGATCAAAGAAGAATATTTGTCATCAGAAAAGGCTGTTGTGTAAATGTGTAAAGGATGTACTTGGTGGAGTGGGCACTTTTTTTTTTTTTTCTGTCTGTCGTGGGGCCTGAACTCTGGGCCTGGGTGCTGTCCCATAGCTCTTCAGTTCAAGGCTAGCACCCTACCACTTGAGCCACAGCGTCACTTCCAGCTTTTTTTTTTTTTTCTGCTTATGTGGTGTTGAGGAATCAAACCCAGGGCCTCATGCATGCAAGGCAAGCACTCTACCACTGAACCACCTTCCCAGCCCCGTGGGCACGTATTTAACATCCACAATAATGCACAACAACAAAAAAAGGCTGTCAAAATTCTTCCCTTTGCTACCACTTGTATCAGTAAGGTTGAGTTTTCTTCACATCTTTCCTGGAAAACAACATATTCTAACATGTTCAATACAAAAGCACATACAAGAGTCCAGCTGCCTATTAAGGGAGGTCAGCATTAGGGTACATAATGCCAAAATGTTTGAGAATTACTGTCGAAAGGGAAAGTAAGAAACAACCTATCTAAAAGATAAGCTGCTATGTGGAACAGCTAGAACAAATGCAAGATATAAATAAAATTCTTGACTAGGCCTCTTAATCATCCTGGTCAGACTGGATCGGTTAGAATTAATAGACAGGACATGCTCAGTGGCTTATGCCTATTATCCTAGCTACTTAGGAGGCAGAGATGGAAGATCAAGGTTTGAGGGCAGTACAGGCAAAGAAGTATCAATGGCTGGAATGTTAAGTCAGCTATGGGTATGAACAATGACTGGGCACAGTGGTTCACGCTTGCCATCCCCAGTAAGACAGAAACACACAGAAAGGAGGACTGCAACTCAAATTGGCCTGGGCATAAAGTAAGACCCGATCTTGAAAATAACCAAAAGAAAACAGGAGTTGTAGGCAGGATTCATATAGTAGAGACCCTGCCTAGCAAGCATGAGGTGTTGAGTTTAATTCTCACTACTGCTCTATCCTCCCAAAAAAGTGGGGGAATCAAGGAGGAAGTAATAGGCAAAATGAATTTATTTTGTGCCAATCCTGGGGCTTAAATTCAGATCCTGTGTACTGTCCCTGAGCGTTTTTGCTCAAGGCTCGCACTCTACCACTTGAGCTACAGCTCCACTTCAGATTTTTTGGTTTTTAATGGGAGATAAGAATCTCATGGACTTTTTTCTACCTAGGCTGGCTTTAAACTATGATCCTCAGAATTCAGTCTACTGAATAGCTAGGATTATAGGCATGAGCCACTGGCACCTGGCATGAATTGTGTGTGTGTGTGTGTGTGTGTGTATGTGTGTGTGTGTGTATGTATGTATGTATGTGTGTATGAATGTATGTGTTATATATAATATTGAAAATAAGATGAGGCTGAAATTTGGGAAAGGGGAATTTTCTGAAAAGAAGGCAGTAAGGGTTTGTAAGAAATACCTGGTAACACTGTAGAACAGACTTTTGAAAAAAATTACTTCGGTTAATTATTCTTTTTTTATTGTGATAATACTGTACCGAGGAGTTACAATTACATGAGCAAGGTAATGAGTACATTCCTTATCAAGCATTGTTGCCTCCTCCTTTGTTTCCCCTTACCATCCCTTCCCATCTCCCCCCTCCTCACCTCTCCTCCCCCCTGACCACCACCCATTGCAACAATGAGATGTACAAGACGTTATGTTAATTATTCTAAAATATATTTCCTCTCCATACTTTTACAGAACACAGAACTGTTTCGTTTTTTGTTTTACTTTTTTAAACTGCATTCTTACTGCCATCTTAACCTAGTTAATCTGACCAGAAACCCTTACTACTCATTATTATTCTGCTATTATCAGCTTTGAAGGCTTTTGAAAATAATTAATACAGATACAATTATTAAGGTAACTTTTAAAATTTACTCACATTTGGGCTCATCTGTGGTAACAGCCAAAATAAAATCATACGGAGTCATGAATAACTGCCCTTCACACTCTATGGAAGCAAATAAACGAAATCTTCTCTCCCTTGATGTAGCATACAGGTCCAAGTCTTCGATATCTGTTCTGCTAATGGCAACCTACAATTAAGAAAGGGGAAAAAAAAAACTTGGACTGTGTAAACAACACCATCTTTTATAAGGAAAAAGCTTTATTTGTGCCAGTCATGGGGCTTTGATCTCAGGTCCTGGATGCTGTCCCTGAACTTTTGTGTTCAAGACTAGTATTCTACAATTTGAGCCACAGGTCCACTTTTGGGCTTTTTTGGTACTTTATTGGAGATAGGATTCTCACAAACTTTCTTGCCCCGGGCTCACTTCAATCCTTGATCCTCAGATCTCAGCTTCCTGAGTAGCTAGGGTTATAGACATGAGCCTCCTTACAGGATAAAAGTTTTATTATATTAAAAGTGATTTAATCAGGTATATGAAAAAGTGTTAAAACAGTCCATCTTTGGAGAACCATAATCATTTTATAAATTTTTCATATGAATAAAACAAATTAATGTTGAAAGATCCATTGCTGTATGAACAGTTTTAAAATGTTAGTTGTGATTTGCTTGGGGATGGCTATTTCTTTCAGTTGCAATAACATTAAATTACAGACTAGTGGTAAACTTTAGATGGAATACTGAAATGCATACTTAGGCACTGTGTACAGTTTCATTTACTTGATTATAAATATATTTTAAAAGAACATGAACATTCTAAAAGGAGGAACTAAAACTCTGGTAGGCTGCTCATGACTATTTATTTGGAAACCATATGGAGGTCCTGTTTAGATTTGGGCCAAAATCACTAATTCAAAGTCAATATATAGTCAGTCACAAATGTTCATTCTGAAAATCTTGGCTTAAGTAAAGACTCATATAGTTTTCTTTCATTTCAAGACTTTAACTGGTAGACAAATAATTTCCCATTGCTATTTTTCTCTTGCACTAAATTTATTTAAGATTTTTCCTGGTTATAAAACTAATGCATAGACTTTGTATGCAAACTAGAAGATGTTTTTAAAATTTATAAATATAATTCTGTATTGCTTGTGTTTTAAAAAAAAGAAAAAATCTGATCTTTTGAGCTCATATCAGGGGCATTTTCCTGTATCAGTGTTACAATAGAAAAACATTTTTGGAAACTGTATGATATTCCATAGTCATCACAGAAAATATTCAAACTCATGGAAACTGAACATTGCTGAATGATTGTGGGTCACTGAAGAGATAACAATGGAAATTCAAAAGTTTCTGGAATTCAACATAAAATAAAAACATGCAATACCATCTCCTCTAGGACACAGCACAAAGCAAGACTCAGAGGAAAGTTTATGAGTGCCTACATCAACAAGTTAGAGAAATCTCAAATCAATATCAAATGATGAACCTCAAATTCCTAAAAATACAGGAACAAGTCAAATCCAAACTGGTAAATGGAAAAAAATAATAAAAATTAGAATGGAAACAAATTAGACATTTAAAAAAAAAACTTACAAAGAATCAACAAAATAAAAAAATGTTTCTTTGATAAAATTAACAAAACCTTCAGTAAAACTAAGTGAAATCACCCAAATAAATGAAATTAAGAGATGAAAAATGGACTATCACAACAGAAACAAGCAAAAATTGTGAATATTATAAGGGAATATTTTGCAAACCTTTATGCCAATAAATTGAAGAATCTGGCAGAAATGAATGGATTCCTAGAGAACACCAATATACTTAAACTGAGCTAGACCCATAACAAGAAATGAGACTGAAATGGCAATAAAAGACCTCACAATCAAGAAACACTCAGAAGTTGTTGACTTTGTAGCCAAATTTGATAAGGCCTTCAAAAGAGAACTAATACCAATACTCCTCAGACTATCACTACTAAAATTCTTTCTATGAAGCTATCATTACACTTATCCCAAAACCAGGCAGGGATCCATCAAAGAAAGAGAACTATAGACCTAGCTCTTTGGTGAGCATAGACGTAAAACTTCTGAATAAAATTCTGGACAACTGAATTTAACAACCAACAAAAAAAATATTACATACTATGATCAAACAGGATTCAACCCAGAGATGTAAAGCTAGTTCAACATATGTAAATCGGTAAGTATAATATAAAAAACCACATCAACAGGATATAAAAACAAAAATATGATCATCTTAATATATGCAGAAAAAGCTTCTGACAAACTCTAACACCACTTTATGATAAAAGCTCTGAATAAGCTAGAAATACACAGAACATTCTTCAACATAATAAAGGCTGTGTGTGACAAACCTACAACCAACATTATTCTTGTTTTTGTTTTGTTTTTCAAACTTTATTTTCTTGTAAATTACATCAGTAAGGTAATGAGTACATTTCTTGTTAAGCATTGTAAATGGTGGAAAATAAACTAGTCCCTCTAAAATCAGAAATGAGAGAAAGATACCCACTCACTCCATTCCTGTTCAATAAAGTGCTGGAAAGGCAAGAGAACAACATAAAGGGGATCCAAAAAGGGAAGGAAGAAATAAAACTATCTCTTTTTGCAGATTACAGATCCTGTACATAAAGAACCCTATAGACTTCTATCCCAAGCTACTAAAGCTGATTCAAAATTGGTAAATTAGCAGAGTGTAAAGTAAAAGTGGCTTTAATGTACGCAAACAATGAGAAGTTAGAGACTGAAATCAGATAAGCAACTCCATTTACAACTACCTCAAGAAAAAAAAAAAGCCAACCAAAGATATGAAAGACCTCTACAGTGAAAAGTTTAAAATTTCAAAGAAGACTTAGGAAAATGGAAAGATCTTCCATGTTCCTGGATTGGAAGAACTAACATTGGGAAAATGGCAATACTGCCCAAAACAATCTACAAATTCAGTGTAAAACCCATAAAAAATACCATCAAAAATCATTCTTCAATGAGAGACAGAAAGCAATTTAAAAATTTCAAATGTTTAAAGTTAAACATCTTTCAGTAATAGTTAGTAAATTATACTATTTGCATCAAAATTACACAGTAAAAATTCATCAAAATTTATAAAAGCCAATGGAGAAAGATAATCCAGAAACCAAAAAGCCTGAATTACATCAATTTAGTTGCATAAACTCAACAATAACAATAAAAAAAGAACTCAACAAGCCTTTCAAAAGTGGTAATATAACTGTGAACTGAAGAGATAGAGATGGAGAGGGGGTTACAGAAGCTACCGTTATTTAAGCAAAATTCTTATTTCCTATAGATTGGTAGTCAAACTAAAAAAAAAAAATCACATATTTTAAAGAAGTGGCAGCTTTCAAACTGTTAAGAAATACTAAAGTGGAAACCCTTAAAGTTAATATTGGCAAGCAAGAAAAATACAGCTTATAAAGCTGGAAGACAGAAGAGGCATTTATGTCAAAGTTAATCCAACACAGTTTCTACATGGCATCTTTCTTGGAGATGTTTTGTTAAAATGATTATTATAATGTGAAATATTTTCTGTCCATACATTCCTGCCTTTATTTGCATGGTTTTGATCTTACTAACAGGCATACTGATGAAGCTCTTGAATGCAGTAAGACATTTTTGTTTGATTATAAGTTTTTGTTAAGGTTAATCTTACAAAGGTTACCTAAAGCTTATTATCAATTTAAATTTTTGTTATGATTAAAAGTTCTTACAGATTGATATATTTAATATTGCTGCTACCTTGAGTTGTTTTTTTTTTTAATCAATCTCTGCAACCAATACTATCTCAGGTTGTTAGTAACCAAACACTCTCAGGCCAGGGATTCGGATGTTGCCTATCCTATCAGGAAATGAGCTTCTGATTTCCTGATATCAACTTGGATTCCTTATTTCCCATTTTCAGTGCCTGAACTCCTCCTTGTTAGTATGTATCTAAAATGGTTTCCTGATTATTTCTTTCGTTTCCTTTGGAATTAAGATACATGCTTTCCTACCCATTAATGTTAGGTTGCTTCTTATTATGTCTCTGTAAAGCTTTTGTTTAAAGACTGTCTGCTAACTATCAACATGAACAATGGCTCCCAATTAATTTATAAAAATAATTAAGTTATAATTAATGAAAGTCTAAGGATAAATAGTATTTCCTTTACACATTCTTACTATATCTGTCACTGAATTGTGAATTCCTTGAGGAGATCAATAAATTCTTAATTTTTATAGTGCCAGTGACTACTTGGTACATGAAAAGATGAATGGTTGAGGATGAAAAGATAATTGGTCACTGTGTAATAAGTACCCAAAAGAATATTGAGTCTGGGTCAAATACACAGACAAAAGAATGGTCAGAGTTTCTTTTAAGATAGGCAGAACTGAGATTTCTCATCCAAACTAAATAATGAGTTACCAAAAGAAAATACCAAAAGAAAGGTACAACATAATAACAGGTATGTTTTAAAAATATACTTCTAATGACATAATTGGTTTTACACATATTTACTAGGTAAATATGACATTTAAATACATTTATATAAGACTTGTAAAGTTAAGATACGGATTACTGGCATATTTATCATTGAAGACATTTAGCTCTTCTTTCTGACAGAAATATTCAAAATCCTCGTGTTAAAGAACATAAAATATTTTTTGAGCTATCCAACTAAACCTGGGTAATTGTGAAACATCCACTTTCTATCTTCCATTCCCCAAAACCCTTTCCAGGTTTTAGTAACCACTATTTAATTTTCTGCCTCTACATATCTGACTTTTACAGATTCCATTAGTGATATCATGTAATATTTGTTGGTGTGTATGTGTGTGTGTGTTTCTTCACTTAAAACAATGATCCATGTTCCATCCATGTTGATACAAAATACATTTCATTCTTTATGATTAAATAGTATTGTTTTGTGGGGCTGGGAAGTTGGCTCAGTGGTAGAGCGCTTGCCTTGCATGCCTGAGGCCCTGGGTTCGATTCCTCAGCACCACATAAGCAAAAAGAAAAAAGCCAGAAGTGGTGCTGTGGCTCAAGTGGTAGAGCGCTAGCCTTGAGCTGAAGAGCTGAGGGACAGCGCCCAGGCCCAGAGTTCAGGCTCCACGACCGGACCCCCTCCCTCCCAAAAAAGTATTGTTTTGTATACATATAACATTTTTTACC